TTACCAACGCAGAGCGGCAGTTGATGATGTGTCGATGTTTCTAGAATTACCAATGGTGTTAGCTGAACGAAATGAATCATGCTCTTTTACAGATGATATAACTTACCACTTGTCATCAGTGGTCCATTCCAACAGCAAATATTTTCCTGATTTGGAAAATCGCAGAGTAAATGCGTGGGTGCTAAGACCCTTTTCAGTGGATGAGGAAATCTTTCCGGATACTGCCATCGAAGCCAAAGCACATTTCCTAGGAATGCGTAAAGCTAACAAATTAAAATGGATTTTAAAAGCACATCACTTGTAGCATTTTGGACAAAGATAGGTGGTAAGTATTCATTGCTATCGGAAAGAGCCTTGAGAATATTGAACCCATTTGAAACAACTTATAGAGGCGAAAGTGGATTTTCGACAATGGTTTCAATGAACACAAAAGCAAGGAGTCGAATGAACCTGGAGCACGACTTCCGATATGCATTAGCAGAAACTGAACCAACTACACCAGACATTGTTAGCACTAAGCAACATCAAACGTCCCATTGATTTATAGCGCTACTTGATTACATATAATGTTATACCAAACAACTGTTCTCTTTCTTTTATTGCTCGAGAATTATTCCAAAAAGCTATCAGTTCCCGTACTTAGAAGCAAACAGCTCGATAGTTATTCTTTATAGGTAGAACTTCGTCACATCTAGGCTCACTCAGACAGCCGCCACACGCCCGGAAAAGCACTGTACGCGCGTTTCATCCTTTCGGGAATCATCAGCAGTGCGCATTCCATCGGATCCTTGGTAGGGCTCGAAACCGCAACTCGACTGTTGCCAGTCCGTGGTTGAGACCACTGAGCTACGGGGGACGGCAACGACCATCGTGAATAAGTTACTAGATGTGATATAGCGCCGCTCACTATCCACTGACTTACACGTTACTGCCGTGCTGATGATTCCCGAAAGGATGAAACGCGCGTACAGTGCTTTTCCGGGCGTGTGGCGGCTGTCTGAGTGAGCCTAGATGTGACGAAGTTCTACCTATACCATTCAACTCCCCCTACTACTCCTCTGTAATCAGTTATTCTTTAGTTAGTGTTTGAAACAGAAATTGGGGGGAGGGTTGCTTATAGCAAACCCCGTTTTTGAGAGTCTCAAAAATGTTAAGAATCGCCGGTGTACAGCAACATGTGTTAAGGATAAGTGTGATATCGCTTTCTAACAACACCATCAAGTCACGTTCAGGACATCATCAAGAATACCTTGAACGCGGTACTTAATGAAAGAAACTCATGGATTTTCTTCGCACTACAATGGGGTCTCATTTATTTGTATGATCGAAAGTCATTACATAGGATATTCATTTGCCGTAACGTAAAAAATACAGTAGTTGCCAGCTAATTGGCTTAGAAAGTTTGGGAGTAACTGCTTAAAGTGAATCCGCTTTGAAGGAACGGCCTCAAAAAGGTTGGGAATGATTACGTTAGACTCATCACAATTGTTTAGCGTGCTCGGCAGCTAAGACATTGTCATAAACACCGCTCAGGAGGCAAAGGTTGACTTGAGGAGAGGCCGGAAGATGTGATGTTGAGACTGGGGCGAGTTCACTGGAAACTATGCGGAAGAATTTGGCCCCGTTCTCACTGAGAACAACTCCGTTGTCATCTTCGCAGATGATTGGACCCATGGCAGCAATCGCCGTAAGGTTAGCTCCGCCCTGAACTGCCTTGTTTAGGTCTCTGCATAGTCACCGTATTCTGGCTCTATGGTGTACTGGCGCTGGTGAAATCCGGGTGAGTTTGGCAGAGCTGTAACAGACATGTTGCATTTTTGATCGATAACATTGGGCGTAGTGCCCAATTTCGCCAGTGTCTGCGGAAAAATTGGCAAAATTAGCTCCATGTGAAGCACTTCTTTTGTGATAGCAAGATGGATTATGGGCTGGTAATGGTGGGAAGTATTGCAACTTTGCCACCTCAGCTGAGTTGATCGAACGGAATTGTTTGGATTGCAGTGAAATTCCAGGTTTCATTCTGGCTAATACGCAAGCTCGATGCCACGTTGATTTGCTCGCCTCTTCTTGCAACAGCGCCTCTCGTATACGTTAGTTAGCATTTCCAGGAATGAGTTGTTGAGTCGGCATACAGTCTTTGCTCTTTTCTGGAGAATGGACGAATAAGCACATGGTTATACTGCGCCACTCAGCCGGGCAAATAAATCGTTCTAGAGTTCACCTGTTTCTTGCTGCATGCGGAAGAAAACGGATCTTGTAAGAACTACATTCTTTTGGTAACCCCATGTATGATCTTGAGCGATGCAAGCTTCTTTAACAAGTTTACAGCCTTGAAGGTCCAAATCATCAAACTGTTGCTACCTCTCATCCACGAGCAAATGTTGAAGCAACTTCAATCTGTTTTCCTCTCTAAGACCAGCATGTAAACTGCTGGTTATATCCAAGTAGTTTTAGAAGGACGTTTTTCAACGGATCCAGGCATCCGATGTTGGCCTTTTACCGCAATCACTCTAAAATGGAGGGAGAGACTGAATGAAAAAGTTCCTCTTTCTGCTTGCGAGCCCAAATGTTGTATCAAGAAGGCAACACAAAAAGCATGATGAATGCTGGTACTCAACTTTAAAGTAACAGACTTAACACAGAATAATCGGGTTTAACTGTCCGGATTTTATACAACTAATGCGAGGAGAGTCGCTGTGTTTCAGCCACTCAGTGAAACATGAGCAGGAGGACATCGTGAAGAATCAGGCACAACCTTTACAAAGATCAGGTAGTGTTTCCATTGGTGATGCAGGATGAGACCACCAGGTTTTGCGGTCTCTCTTCAGGCTGACCCGTAGTTTTATCCTGATGTCTTTACGAGCCTCGTGTGCTTGTCCCCAGTCGGAACCTGTCGGCGAGCATCCGGCAATTCAAGAGAGTATTTAGAGACCAAAATCTCCGCGTTGGCAATCAGAATTACTACATGAATTCAACCTGCTGCTAATAAATTCTGGTGAACATGTGACTAATGATCGTCAATTGTGCTCAGTGAGCACTTAATCAACCCCCATACTATCGCTGTTCGAGATGCAGTCATAAACCCTGACTTCTTTAGTTGGCGGGTGTCCATGTACTCACGGTGTCATCGCGGACGTCCGCCAGAAAAGTACCCGCGAGTTGGCACATACTATTGTGTGGTCGGAGTCCATGATTGTACACAAAATCAAGCGTTTGCGACGCAAACACTACAGCAGTAATTGATCGCGATGTGCTCATTTTGTGTCCATGGCTAGTCCGAGCTTAGTAGGCTTCATGTCTGCGGGTGCTTTGTCGGAGGTTAGTGCTCGCTAGAAATAGACGAACAACATCACGGGAGCACACACAGTGTTGGCCCCCAATTGCAGCGCACTGCCGGACATTTCTGCAACTTGAGACTTCAGATCACCGGCCATCACTGCAGTACCTCTGCCTTTTCTGTGACGATGGATCGCATTCAATTAGGGATAGAAATCTTGCACCGTTTCAGCGCTACAAGTTGCGGGCGCATAGGCCGTAATGACAAACAGGCACCGATTGCCACCACTCGAATTCGATGTTTTAAACGAGCCAGCCAATATGACAGCACGCATCCTGCTGTTTCTTAGGAACCAAGCGATCAGGGCAGTTTCAGCTTTGAAGTCCAGTGTAATGCCTATACTACCATTCAAAGCCTCATCATCTCGGGATAAACACAATGTATTAGTACCGCTAGTGTTATTTGAAGAGGATCCTAGAGTGAGCACAGAGCTCCAATCTTGCAGGCAGGCTTCCAGCAAGCAGCCGATATCGATCGATAGGGTTTCTAGTGTTCGAGTAAGTACTTACTGCCAGTTGACCGATTTGCAGCAGAGTGCGCTCTGAGTTTTGACAGCCTTAGCGAGGTTTGAAGGCTACAGACAGAAACGAGTGAATTGAGTTTGTCCCGCATCGTTAAACATGGACTTCCTGACAGTGGAGAATTCGCCCACCGCGAATGTGTGTGAGCTGAAACTAGAAGACAAAAACCTGTCAAAGCAATCTTAGGGTGGGCCAAGAATTTGGGGGTTGCAAAGAGAGGGATATAAAAATGAAGTTTGCATGGGATGAGAATGATAAAAATCCTTAAGCTGTGGAATTAAAAGCTGGAAAGGCTTGAATTATCCTATTCTTACGCACATACCCTTCGCGGGCTACCGCAGATAAGGTGCAGTTGCAATGGCCATGAGGTCGTAACTCACTTTGTGTGTTGATTGTTGTATTGTGTACGCAGGATACTTTCAGCTTGCCAAACGTCTCTCAACCAGAGACTGGTTCAAAAACCTGACCTTAAGGCATTGAGAGGTTGACAATATGCTACAGTTAGCCCATTCTAAGGAATAAGGAGCCACACTCACTCTAGCCCCCGACCTGAAGGACCAGGAGACTGAATTTTGGTTGGTATCTAATCGTTGACCGATATGGTATTGGAGCCCGAGAAATTGCACATATCACTACCATGAACAGCTTAATGATTTGTTGAGGCACTCGAAACATTAACCACGATGAGTCCCAGTCTCATTGTGATGGGACCTTATTCACACCGATAAACCAATCTGCAAATGGGCTGGTGATATGGTTAACTGTATCTGCAAATCTGACACCAACGTCTTGTTGCCCAGGTGGTGGAGGTGTTTGTGACCTTAACTGACACCTGAACATAGGGACTCGTCTTTTGGGGGGTGTTTTCCTCCTCAATAATATGAAATACAAAACTGCATCAAATTAGAATCGCCACGTACACAACTAATAAGAACAACGGCATGCTTTTAGTTTTTAACTTCGTAGTTTGCACTCTCCTGTCCCATTGCACACAGTAAGATAAAGTTGTCAAATATGGATAAAATGAGCAAAATATCTTGTAGAACGTAAGACCACGTCCATATTTAAATAACTAATTCACACTCTATGCATGTAAACTCTTGAACACAATGTGAACTCTCCTCTCGCTCTCTCTAATTCAGGTCTTGAACAACTGCCCAAAGGATATGAAAGCCGATCTTTGTGTGCATTTGTACAGGGAAGTGTTCAATGAACATCCAGCGTTTCGATTAGCCAGTGAAAGTTGTCTTCGTGCACTAGCTGTTGCCTTTACAACGCAACATACAGCACCGAGTGATTTGATCTTCCATCAAGGAGAGAGCATCGACCGGCTTTGTTTTGTAGTAGCTGGCTCCCTGGAGGTGGTACAGGACGATGAAGTCGTGGCCATACTGAGTAGGTTTCGCGTTTGACTTAAAAAATTCATTTGCCTATCCATAACATGATTTTCTTATGTGTAGTGTTATCCCGAAGCTACCGCAACGCTTATATCACTGGAAGTGCAGATGGTACCAGCTTCCAGCTGCTTAATTATTCGCTCGTAATCTGACGTCTGATTCAGCTGAGTGTTGGTCTGCCAGCCAAGCTAACCCAAATAATTGTTATTGGGTCGTTCATTAATGTGTGTACAGAGCGACATATTCAAGGTGCATCATGCATTTATTCTCATCATAGCACATTATTGATGTATACGGCCAGGACATATTGCTTTGCTGATGTTAGAGCAGGGTAACAATTTGTACTATTTTCTCCATCATGATCATGAGCATTTATGTGCTCCGGGGTTTCCATGCTGCTGTCTCATTCTACGGAATCAAAATGCTCAGTAAGTCAGTTTGTTTTTGTTGCTTCCATATACCTACGATTTCTATAATGAAGTGTTTTCACAAAGATCCGATTTGGCGACTGGATTGTGAAGCATCCTTCCTGTCCTGGACAAACTGTCTACTGAAATAAATAAGATTATCCGTAGCTCGGGGTGTGGATGCGGATTTTGAGCGGTTCTCCGAGCTGAGTGATTATTGTGCAGGCCCCTGAAGCAGCACTGATGATGTTGCCTAGTCAGGCAACGAAACGTCTGCGCAATAATCACTCAGCTCGGAGAACCGCTCAAAATCCGCAAACTGTCTACTGACCTGTTAATCTGAACTTAGCTCTGAGGTAGATCGAGACGAAAAGTTTGAGGTTTATTCCGCTAAGTTAAATAAGCAACTAGTTTTCTCATGAATAGGTTTCTGTCTATCTTTATGTCTTATCAGAAATATTAAAGTTGGCACTAACGGAAGATATGGGTTGATCTTACACAGGTGAACTAATAACAAAATCGATAGTAATGTTAAGAATGACTGTAATTTAAAAGTACTATTAATATAGGCTTTTTAAGTCCCAAGCTGCGGTCAGAACACATTGCAATAGGAGCTGATATTTATGGAACAATTTCGTAATGATATCCATTTAAGTTCTGTAGCAATGCAGTCGGTCTGCTAATTAGACTGCGTTTTGTCGCGATGCTTCTGTAGCAGTCCGCATGTAAGCCGTGCTTATATTCCATATTTGTGCGCCCACCCAATCTTCGTTAGTCATGTGCCTTCCGACATCTGTGCCGATACTGATTAACTACATTTTTTCGTGCTCCAATACTTCCAATGGAGGTAAAATGTAGTCCTGTTTATGGGCGTTTTCTGGGTTACAGTGAAGGTTGCAATCGTCCCAGGGTTTTACAAGTTAGATTCCATGGACAGTGAACAATGGTAAGATTATTTTAGTTGTTGGCAAAACCAGTATCCTTGGAGAAGGAAGTCTTTGAAGTGCATGTATATGCTGTATGCGGTACGCATATAAAATCTGCTTGTTGGCACATTTAACAAACGTAACAAGTTTATAGGAAATCAGGATAATTGCAAGAGGCCTGGTAAGCTAATATAACAAACTGGAACTCTATGAAGCCCCGATATTTGTGACAGAATCTGTAGTAGGCTTATGTGGAAACTCAACACTGAACCCACTTTCGGCACAGTAACTGACATCTGTGAGGTCAATGCACTTCGTGTGTGAGGTCATTGATGATGTAACTAATCTTGCAGGAGGCATACCTACAACTATTACACAGATCTAACCTGTCATTATTTAATTTGTCTAATCGTTATTACTGACTCGGACACAAAAATGTCAACTAATTTTCTCTCGATGTTTTGGCAGAAATAACAGACTTACTGTTTACCTATGGGAGAACAGGGTTACCAGTTCATATCCACTGTATTTGATAACTATAGACTGCATGTACACATGGATTTTGCCCTGAATGTCAAGGGATGTATGGATTGATAATCAGCCAGTCGTTGTGACATTTGCGTAAGAAGGCTCGAAAATCCCCGCCCGCACTGATTTTAATACTGTGAAATTCGGAAACTGGACTTCAACAAGGCGACATTCACTTCTTTCCCTTTACACATGCTAATTCTTCAGACTTCTGCGACGACAATGACCAGCGCACACTGGCTGAGCTTTACCGCATCCTGCGCGGGTTCCAAAACGGATGGCTCCGATTCCGTGGCCAGCTGACAGCCCTTTACTTGAAAATTATGTGGCAGGCTAATTTACTGGGTGGAAACATTTCCCTTATGCTTGACCATTTATCCAATCTTGCGCAATTTTGGAAGAGTCAACATTATCCCACTTATTCTATTCGTCGTCAATAAAGGTAAAGCTCTTGCCTTAGTTGACCCAAAGCATTTGCTTGTTTGGGAATAAATCAGCTTACGAGAGAGCAACTTCGCTACTTGGAGTATGCAAACGGCATCGCCATAATTTCAACAAAGCAAGAACAAAGCATTTCGCGATATAGACTGAATTCAGTTTATTCCGTGTATTATCAATCAGTCGCTTACAAATGTACTGTGGGAGGATTTAGTCAGTGCATATGACATGGAATCAATAAGGCAACCAATGTGAACCTCGGGCGATCGTGATCATCGCTTCCAGCGGCTGATGCTATGCCTTTCATTGCAAGGCTAAGCTGGACATGAGGTCAACCTGCTTGCACAGGTTGGGCTTCAGCTGTCGGATTGCGGAAGCCTCGGCAAAGTGGAGCAGTGTAGGAGTGTTCTGCCTACTGACGACTTTGAACGAGTTACCGGGGTCTAGACACGCGTTGTAATCAAGTAGATGTCAAGCAAAAGAGCTGACAGGCAGCTTAGGGCCACTCATCGCTAGGCCACACGGAACACGCTCCAGAATTTTTGTAGATAATTTTCTCTCAGTCCGAGCAATGTACATGCTGCTGCAGGTACAGATAAATTGGTAAACGCAGGTGCCGGTGACTTGAGGGTGAGGTTTATCTAGGTGGGATTGGTGCAGCAAGTTTCTGGTCTGGTACAGTAGCAGTAGCTCAGCTGAGTAATAACACCACTTTATGGATTGCTGTAGCCCGTGGCAGAACCTATTATCAGTTTGTTTGCCTTTGAAAGGTTGGGTTATGAACACCTTTCTCTTGGGAACATCAGCTTATTTCATCTTTCAAAGATTTTCCTCCCCATATCTTGCTATGAATGTACTAGGGTACCCGTTATCGCGTAGTGTTGTTATAATGCGCTGCGGTTCTCTCGTGATTGACTTTTCGGAACAGGTTCGGCGCGCTGTTGTGAAGCAGGTGCGAACCAAGGATCGCTTATAGTTCATCGAGCGGTAACTGTCAAAGTTTAGATATTGCGCTCTCCGGCGGGGTATGTGATAAATCGACTATATTAGCGAGCCGTCTATTCTTCTCTTTAAGAAAACATCCAAAAAGTGAAACACCCCCGATTCTTTCCAAGGTGAAATTGATCTCCGGATGACATTGTTTCAATTTGTCCAACATGCTCTCTACCTTCCGGGCAGTTTCGACGACTAGAAAAGTGTCATCTACATACCGGACATGGAACTGCGTCTTTTCTTTGGTTCGCCGTAGTTGGTTGTTTTTTTGGTTAGAACTACCCTAACTAACCCAACCACCATGATCATCGATCAACCGCTATCGATCATTGCATTGAACGTTCCGTTATAGCCAGAGCAGCGTTCGCAATTGGCATCATGGGCTGACGCAGAACGGTTATCCGACTTCAGGCCTGTAGCCCAACTTGGTCAAATACATAGATTCTGGAAATGTGCCCATTCTTTTAACACCGGGTTGCAACAATTTGGCAACGGAGGTGAGATGGATCAAGACGGGGTTTTATATTGGCTTGGAATGTAATTTTTTCACAAAAACATGAGTAATTTGGAGCCGCTTGGTTACACATGATCTGGATTTCTCCAGACGCTTATCTGTCCAGCCAAGTGGAGATTCGGCACTTAATCATGATCAGACTGTCACTCGACAATTATATTTTCAGCCGGCAGTCGTCAGGCAATTACGAATGATCGGGACAGTCACTCGACATTTGCCTCCCCAGTCGGCAGGTGCCAGAATACCGAAGTCTTCATTTGACGCAGAAAGCAACAATGGCTCACAGCAAATGTTCCGAGCTCCAATTAAGGGACAGCAACACTCCCAGTTTCCTTGCAGTTGCAACAGTCCAGTTGTCAGAAGACCTTCAGGAATGTCAAGCAACTAATACTTTTTTTGCGGGGGAGGTGTTATGGTTAGAACAATCCTAACTAACCCAACCACCATGATCATCGATCAACCGCTATCGATCATTGTATTGAACACTCCGTAATAGCCAGAGCAGCGTTCGCATTTGGCATCATGGGCTGACGCAGTACGGTTGCCCGACTTCAGGCCTGTAGCCCAACTTGGTCAAACACAGATTCTGGAAATGTGCCCATTCTTTTAACACCGGGTCGCAACAGTTATTTTCTAAATGGCCCTTGAAGATGTCAGGTAGAACAAGTCAAAGTGGACTGTCTATCGCTACAGCTTCGATTTGCGGGTAGTTGCCATCAAAGCTAAACTGACCATCCTTGGTGCAGATATGGAGTAGGGCCTTTAAATGGTGTGCTAGAAAACCCACCTTGCTCGTACTTATACCTATGATATTCAGTGTCTCCTCCAGATGGACATTTGTGAACAATGAACACACGTCGAAAGACACCATGCATTTGTCCTTCAGACTCAGCGTCTTTCAAACTATGAACAGCCAACTCAGATCTGATGGGCCAACCGACATGCTAGCCTCTGGTGCAGAGCACCAACCGCTGAGATAATGGGGCACAATGGGACCCCGTCTGTATGAACATTGGGTAACCCGTATTTGTGGGCGAGTTTCGAGCCATTGATTGCAATGCATGTCAAGAACCCGGTAACTCATCCAAATTCGTCAGTAGGCAGAACACTCCTACACTGCTCCACTTTGCCGAGGCTTCCGCAATCCGGCAGCTGAAGCCCAACCTGTGCAAGCAGGTTGACCTCATGTCCA